TCCCAAACTACAATCTGTTGATCACTCATTCTAGAGTATTTGCTGGGAGTCCACATTGCCCATTATTAAATTGCCTTAAAAAGATAACGAAAATACATGATAGTTTCCTTATTTTGCTTTCTCTTGTAAGGAATTGTTGTGTGTATTAAAGAATAAGATGGAATCATGAGTAGCAGGTAAGGTAGTGGATGCTATGAAAAAAAGTGTCAAATAAGTAAAGAGCAGAATAATTAAACTCATTTCATTAGCATCTATCTTTATGAAAGAAAATTATAGTTAACTACCCAAACTGGTGACAACTTATCTAGGATGTCAGAGGAGGCAGCAGACAGCTACAGATAAAAACAAAATTGGTTATAAAAAGTGCATAGAAAGACCATGAAACAGCAAGTCTCAATGACATGCATCCATGAATTTTAAAGGAAGTGGGCAAAAAAAGGCAGTGAACCTTCACTGACGTTTTTTAAAGTTCAATAGATTTGTGAGAGAACTTTGAAATTTTCAAAGCAGCAAACATGTTTTCTCTTTTTTGCAGGGAAGCTTTTATGCGGGTCAAAAGAAAAACTAGGAAGCAGGGGAGGTGAGGGTAGAAAAATAAACAAGAACTTGAAAGGTCCACTCCTGCTCAAAAGAACTGTCATTGATTTTACTGAGAGTAGTAAAGGGCCCTTTAAATAATGTGTTAATAAAGCACCTGAAATTTCACTGTTTGATTAAAAATAACAAGCATGGATTCAAGCAGGGGAGGACACGCTTAAATAATTTGATGAAGTTCTTTGAAGATATTAATGTGGTGGTAGATAAGGAAAATTCATTGGCTGTAGTTTTCTCACATTTTTGAAAAGCATTTGACAAGGTTCCACATCTCATCAGAGATTAATTGCTAAGCTAAAGAATCACAGAACTGGTGTGAAATAGGGTGCTAAAAAGAAAGTTGTAAAGATTTAAAAGTAGGAAACAGAGGGGGTTGGAACTGGGAACTTTTGAAGCTTGAAAGGGTTACCAGTGGACTAGAGATAAAAGTCTATATGAGACTTCTGTAATTAAACATGATCCAGATCATTTGTCCTTTATGGACATTTACTCACTTCACACCATCTGTCTCATTAGGAGTTAGCCCCCACATGAAAATATTATGTGAGGGGAATGCTATTAGGAAGACCATAATGGAGTGTCTCCTTTTTAGCCACCAGTTGTAGGGTTTATGCTATAGGAGGTGGGAAGCGTGAGTGATGTGATATGGCCATATGTTAATATAATGTTAAGATGAAAAGATAAAATAATAAAAATTATTACTATAGTTATAAATTTGTGATGATGAAATACTCTCAGTTTAATAGAGCTGGTTGGAGAAATGTTGATTGATTCATATTCTATCAGATTACATGGTTTCAATTAAATAGAAATGCTTTGACAAAATGTGATGATTTTACTGCAATTTATTTTAAAACTCCTGTTCTGTTGTGACATTACTTGAATGAAACACTTCAAAGTTTTTCATTTACAATGAGCTGTTTTTTTATAATTTTGTGTTAAAATGTATACAAAAATCAAAAATCAAAACAGAAGCACAACATTTTATTTAATGAAGTATTTGAAACAACCCTAAATAAATAAATGTCAGGATTTTCCTTTGCAATGAGTTGAAAAAAATTGTTTTCATTCTGATTTGGAATAAAGCCAAAATAAGAATCTAAAAAATCCCTCACACAATGGAGTTTCCATCCTCTCCACTTTAAACTTAAGTATCATGGGTTATTAGCTATTAATGCTTGAATAATGCTTTGAAGATGGAAAGTGTCCTATAATTGGTTAAATATGCTTTTAATGATCATTAATCCTGCTTATGTCCATGTTGGATTTGGTTCATCTTGGACACTACTACATAAACAAAGATGTTCTTTGAACTGGAAAAGAATACTCAGATTATTGGAATTCTTATAATGTAAATTATAAATGGCACACGTGGTATTTTGTTTTTTGCCTCATCAGACTATGTTCCTACCATAAATTCTTCATATATTTATAACAACTGAAAAATGTGAAAGTAGAATAACATTCTAGGTATATAGGCTAATAAATCTGTCTGAAAAAAATGTGAGAGTAACACTTCTAATTCATAAAAAAAAAACTTACCACCTATACTTGTGTACTTGAAATAGACTTAAAGCAGTTAACATGGTGACATCATTAACTACCCCACAGTTAAGGATCATTGAGTTCAAATCTCAGTATAAAGAAAAAAAGGCATGATGCAGTTCTCATTAAAGACTATGGAAAGACTCAGTGGGTGCTGGATCAGGCCTTAAAATCCACTTCTTTTGTAATTTAATGGTTGAATGTATTCACCACATTTCATATGAGTCCTCCTAGATTCTTTTTTAACATTTGGGAACCAGATTTCTTCAGTGGCCAGAAGTGCTTTTGGGCAGCTTCGTCTGATCCGCTAGCTGCGACCGTTTCTGAACAAGCATGACTTGTCCACAGTGATCCATGCTCTTGTTACATCCTGACTGGATTACTGTAATGCACTTTATGTGGGGCTGCCTCTGAAGAGCCTTTGGAAATTTCAAGTGGCCCAGAATGCGGCTGCTCAAGTTTTAACTAATACTCGTAATATGGAACACATTATGCCAGTGCTTCGGCAGTAGCACTGGCTTTCGGTATGTTTCCGGGCACAATTTAAGGTTTTAGTTATGACCTATAAAGCCCTAAATGGGTTGGGTGTGGGGTATCAGAAGGACCGTCTTCTCCCATATGACCCTGCCCGGGGATTGAGGTCATCTGGGAAGGATCTGCTTCGTGTTCTCTTATTTGTGAAGATAAGATTAACATCTACGCGGAGCTACCCTTTTTACTCCTGCTTTTATTAATGTTTGAGTCTGTATGTGTTACGTTCCTTTTCTCGATATGATTTTAGCAGGTTTTATGTCCCTCTGGGATCTCATATTTTAAATTCTTATATACATTTGTATTGTATTTAAAATTTTTGTAAGCCACCTCAAATATTTTAAATAGAGAGGTGGGTAAAAATAAATAAGTAAATCCATAGGGCAACCTTCTCTGGGGTAAAACCTTTGGATTAGATTACACTAGCTGAGGGGTGGGCAATAATATTTGAAGGTGGGGGCCACTTTGCGAATTTCAGAAGTGGTCACAGGCTGTCCCAGAAGGGGTGGAGCCAGCAGACTTCCCATGCTCTCCCACCCACAGACCCTGATTGACCTGGGGGTGCAGGAGTGCATGCAGTCCTAGCTCCCCGCCATCACCCTGTCAGCGGAGCACAGCACCTAGAGAGATCCGCCAGCTGTTTTGAACAGCTGGGCAACGTCTAGACTGGCATGATTTTCCACAAATGCTTTTGATGGAAAAGTTTTCCGTTAAAAGCATTTGCGGAAAAGAGCGTCTAGATTGGCACGGACGCTGTTCCGCAAAAGCGCTTTTGTGCAAAAGCGTCCGTGGCCAATCTAGACGCGCTTTTGGGCAAAAAAGCCCCGATCGCCATTTTCGCAATCGGGGCTTTTTTGCGCAAAACAAATCTGAGCTGTCTATACTGGCCCTTTTGCACAAAAGCTTTGCGCAAAAGCACTTTTGCAGAAACGGGAGCAGCATAGTATTTCCGCAAGAAGCACTGATTTCAGACAGTAGGAAGTCAGTGTTCTTACAGAAATTCAAGTGGACAGTGTAGACAGCTGGGAAGTTTTTCCGCAAAATCAGATGATTTTGTGGAAAAACTTGCCAGTCTAGACACAGCCCGGGGGTAAGAGCATGGGTGTTGGATAGAAGAAGCTGGACAAATGAGTACCCCTTTCTTTACTTCTGACTAGATGATGAACTATATTTAAGAGAACCCTCCACCAAATCAATACCTTAGTAAGATACAAAATTCCTTGTTTTTATGCATCAAATCTTTGGAAACATATTTTTAACAAAAACATATGATGAAATGTAATTAACATATCTATTATTATGGAGGTCACACAATAAATTAGTGTTTCCTTTTTCTAAAAGTAATTAATTTTGTTATGAACACACTAAACCAGCAGTGGGCAAATACTGCCTGTGCACGTCTGACCGCAGAAGGAGACTTGATGCGCTCCCCTCTCCATAAGGCCACTCCTTCCCCATGAAGTCTGTGACCCCTGTCCCTTCCCTGCCAGGGGCATGCAGAGCCTAGAGGGAATTGCTAGCCATTCTGAACAGCTGGCAGTTCTCTCTAGACATTATGCGCCTTTAGTGGGACTCCAGACTGGCAGTTCTCTATAGATTTTGTGCGCTCCCTCGTTCCCAGGTTTCAATTAGCCTGAGGGCAGGGGAGCGGCAGGACTGCTGTGGGCCAGATCAATTGGCTTGGCTGTATTGCCTACTCCTGCACTAGTTCTAAAAGTATTGAAAAGGATGAGAAGTATGGAAATATTTCTAAAGGTGAGTCTGAAATGGTTTAATTAGCAAAAGGGATGCCCATAAGAGATACATGATGGAAACATACATAAGACAATGGCAAATCAGAGACTGCCATTTTACCTTTGTCATAAAAGACGAATAAAGTGAAGGCAACATATTTTAACTAGTCAATTAACTGATAGATAATGCAGGGTAAACTTGTGGAATGCATTGCCACAAGATTTCCATGCGGTCAGGTGCTTACTAGATTTGTTTTTATTGCTATTTATACAGATCGAATCTCCAGTTATGTTACCTAGGATTAAATAATTGGTTTTTTAAGGGACTATAATCCCTTAGGCCTGAGGACATAAAGCAATTACTAATTTGCAAGGTTGGGAAAGAAATTTCTGTATGTCGGTAGTTCCAGAATTGTCCACTAGGGGATTTCATGCAGCTTCCCATGATGCAGCTGGGCCTGCAGGTTTCTTGGCTAGATGCAGCCTGTCGGTGGGATCCAGTTGGACAATTACCAGGTTTCTATGGAAACAGTAGAATGAAGTTGAAAATTTTACCTGGGCAGATCCCACGTGACTGACCCTCTGTTTGTATCATAGGGAAGAAGAACTACAAGTGTTTTACCAACTCAGGTAAGAAGGAAACTTTTTCTTTGCATTGTTTTGACAAGGACTTGCCCTCTGTATTGAGGACACAACACAATGTTGCAATATCAAAATGGTCCACAAAAGGGAATGGCTCCTCACTATCCAGCTCTAAATTCCACCCGAAAGCCAATTTTAAAAACCCATCAAAAATGATACTACTTGTATCTGCAGCCACACACTCATGTCTTTATTACTCATGATGGGAATACACTCACACAGTAGATAAGAAATTCTACCCAGAGTCTCTGGGACTGGCTTGGATGAAATGTGTCACCAATCATTCATGCAAGGGAAAAAGCAGGCTGCGGAGGGTGGCTGCTCCAGAGAGCCTAGCCAGGTGAGATGGCATAACCAGAGACTAGCTAGGTGAGATGGCATAATGAGTAAGCCAGTGGGGGGGCCTGGGACCTGCCTCACCCATGTGGCAGTGGAAGGTACTGGTCCTGCTCCGAGCCATGTGGCAAGCGGAGCCGGGGCCTGTTCTAGTGCCTGGTAGATGATGGGGGTGGGGGGTTTCTTCTCTAGCGGCCCGGAATGTGTGTGTGTTAATAAATTGGGTGCCACGGTGGCACACATCCAAACCAGTGCACACGACTCAATATTGGTGCACAAGCCAAAACTCACTCTGCTCATGGCTGGAAAATCTTAGAGGGACGTTGCCAATGAGGTGAATGTCCCAGGTAGATCCCAGACTGGGATGTCCTGCAGAGGCAAAATGGAGTAACATTGTCTCTCTGGCATAATTTTTGAAGGTGGGGGACACTTCTCGTATTTCAATAGTGGTCATGGGCTGTCCAGAAAGGAGCAGGGCCAGCAGACTTCCCATGCTCCCCCATCCACAGATCCTGATTTGCCTCTGGGTGCTGGAATGCATGAAGTCCTAGCTCCCTGAACCCACCCTGCCATGGGAGCACAGCACTTAGAGAGAAATGCCAGCTGTGCACGTCTGACCGCAGAAGGAGACTTGATGCGCTCCCCTCTCCATAAGGCCACTCCTTCCCCATGAAGTCTGTGACCCCTGTCCCTTCCCTGCCAGGGGCATGCAGAGCCTAGAGGGAATTGCTAGCCATTCTGAACAGCTGGCAGTTCTCTCTAGACATTATGCGCCTTTAGTGGGACTCCAGACTGGCAGTTCTCTATAGATTTTGTGCGCTCCCTCGTTCCCAGGTTTCAATTAGCCTGAGGGCAGGGGAGCGGCAGGACTGCTGTGGGCCAGATCAATTGGCTTGGCTGTATTGCCTACTCCTGCACTAGTTCTAAAAGTATTGAAAAGGATGAGAAGTATGGAAATATTTCTAAAGGTGAGTCTGAAATGGTTTAATTAGCAAAAGGGATGCCCATAAGCAGGGCTCAACATTTAGGGCAATTAATCTGGCATGGTGCCGCAGCACAATCAGCATGTGCACAGTGCGGTCTGAGCATGTGCAGTGTGCCAAACTGCGCGGCTGGCGAGCAGAGCTCACCGACGCTTGTCAAACCTTGCCCATAAGTGATACATGATGGAAACCTACATAAGACAATGGCAAATCAGAGACTGCCATTTTACCTTTGTCATAAAAGACGAATAAAGTGAAGGCAACATATTTTAACTAGTCAATAGGAATGCCCTGTTAGATAATTCCGGTGATTTGTTTTTATTGCTATTTATACAGATCGAATCTCCAGTTATGTTACCTAGGATTAAATAATTGGTTTTTTAAGGGACTATAATCCCTTAGGCCTGAGGACATAAAGCAATTACTAATTTGCAAGGTTGGGAAAGAAATTTCTGTATGTCGGTAGTTCCAGAATTGTCCACTAGGGGATTTCATGCAGCTTCCCATGATGCAGCTGGGCCTGCAGGTTTCTTGGCTAGATGCAGCCTGTCGGTGGGATCCAGTTGGACAATTACCAGGTTTCTATGGAAACAGTAGAATGAAGTTGAAAATTCTACCTGGGCAGAGTCCATGTCACTGACCCTCTGTTTGTATCATAGGGAAGAAAAACAACATGTGTCCTATCAACTCAGGTAAGAAGGAAACTTTTTCTTTGCATTGTTTTGACAAGGACTTGCCCTCTGTATTGAGGACACAACACAATGTTGCAATATCAAAATGGTCCACAAAAGGGAATGGCTCCTCACTATCCAGCTCTAAATTCCACCCGAAAGCCAATTTTAAAAACCCATCAAAAATGATACTACTTGTATCTGCAGCCACACACTCATGTCTTTATTACTCATGATGGGAATACACTCACACAGTAGATAAGAAATTCTACCCAGAGTCTCTGGGACTGGCTTGGATGAAATGTGTCACCAATCATTCATGCAAGGGAAAAAGCAGGCTGCGGAGGGTAGCTGCTCCAGCGAGCCTAGCCAGGTGAGATGGCATAACCAGAGACTAGCTAGGTGAGATGGCATAATCAGTAAGCCAATGGGGGGGCCTGGGACCTGCCTCACCCATGTGGCAGTGGAAGGTACTGGTCCTGCTCCGATGATCAGGGATGCTATGTGGCAAGCGGAGCCAGGGCCTGTACTAGTGCCTGGTAGATGATGGGGGTGGGGGGTTTCTTCTCCAGCGGCCCGGAATGTGTGTGTGTTAATAAATTGGGTGCCACGGTGGCACACATCCAAACCAGTGCACACAACCCAATATTGGTGCACAAGCCAAAACTCACTCTGCTCATGGCTGGAAAATCTTAGAGGGACGTTGCCAATGAGGTGAATGTCCCAGGTAGATCCCAGACTGGGGTGTCCTGTGGAGGGGATCGTTGTCCCTCTCGCATAAACAAGTTCCACTAACTGTTTCTAGCTCTAGAATCTCTGTCTTGTTGGAATTATTTCCTATCCACTGTCTGATCTGTTTTTTCTTATTAACAAGCTACTAGAGGAGGCATCGCCTTCCCCAGCGGGATGAGCCCTTCACTGTTTGGCGGATCCATCATCCTGATCCACGCTGCTGCTCTGAAGCTGACGGCCGGTTTCTAAATTTCCCTATTTGCGTTGCTCATTTTTGCTCTCTTAACACCAATCACAGGGATGGGGTTTGACAGAGCTAGAGCTGTCTTGCTCTTCTGCTAGCATTTAAAAGGGAAATCAATGGAGCGTCACTGGTACCTGCTTGGGCAGCTTTGATTATATGCGCCGCATTAGTAGATCACAATGAAAGCTCATGATTCTATTTCAAATAGGGTTTGTATTACAATGCTAGAGCCATAAATGGGTGCTTGTTGTATAAATCATTTCTTATATTCCAGGCAAGCTCACGCTTTTGTACCATCTTTTGATTACTGTAGTGGAAGTTTTGTGAGCTGGCCACAGTAAACATGTTGTTTGCATACATGTTGCATTGTGCTCCCATCCCAAGATATGATCAGAGGTGTGACCTCTGATGTGAGCTGAGCCAAAGCATTTTTAAAGTCTCTTGTGGGTCCCCACATTCCGCATTTGAAATGCCAGAGTGGGTAACAACCTTGATAGGCTCATTATTAAATGGAGAACATACAATTAATAATGATACAGAAGAGGCAGAGGTGTTCAATCATCATTTCTGTCCTGAATTAGGAAAGAAGCAGCCTAGTTTACTTGTATCACATGAGAGTAATGAAGTACTTTTCAATCCATTAATAATGAAGAAAGATATTAAACAACATCTGCCAGGGATAGCTGAGTATCAGTGTTGTATTGTCCATCTTCAATGCCTTTAGTTAGACTAACCCAGGTTCCTTTCCTTTTTCCCTGATTTTTTCCCCATCTCTTTCCTGTTTCTCCCCAACTATTGGTAAATGGGTTCATGCCAGACAGAAAGCTATCAATCTACGTTTCTATGCTCCTCCCTTATTTGGAGGCCATAGATTGGATGGTCTTTAGAACAGCCCCAAATGGCTGGACTCTGCCCTATTTAAATATGACTGATATGGAATGTACCTTCATGACTGGTTTGGAATGTGCCTCATTTCAATATGCTTTGCCAAAAGCCTTCGCTTCAGAACAAGGCCTCAGACAGATGGACTGTGATATCAATCCTTTGTTCTTATACTTCTGCAATTAAGCTACATCTACACTGTTCCTCTCTTCTACAAGAGCCTATGCAAATAAAGTGTGGATTAACATATTGCTGCACTTCATTTGCATAATTAATTAGGAGCTGGATTTTTGCACGAGGTTTTTGCGCAAGAGCCATTCTTCTTGACAAGAGGAGGTTTTTGTGCAAAAAGACGCTGTGTAGACGGTGCCTTTTTGCACAAAAATCTCTTGCGCAAAAAGTCTCCTAATTAACTATGCAAATGAAGTGGTGCAATATGCTAATATGTGCTTCATTTGCATAGGTGCTTGCGGAAGAGGGAAGCAGTGTAGATGTAGCTTAATTGCAGGGGTATATGTGGTGGGCTTTTCCTGAAGTATATTTCTGGAGGCCCAGGAATATGTATTCTTGATCTTGTAAAAGCTCTGGGAGACAGACCCATAGTCTCCTATAGACAACCACCTAATCTCAAGATGATTCTTACCAACAACCACAGGACACACCACACTAATACCAACCCTGGTACTTTCCCTTGCAACAAACCCCGTTGCCAGCTTTGTCCACATATTCACTCTGCTGACACCATTATTGGGCCTAACCAAGTGAGTTACAAGATCAAGAATACATATTCCTGGGCCTCCAGAAATATACTTCAGGAAAAGCCCACCACATATACCCCTGCAATTAAGCTACATCTACACTGCTTCCCTCTTCCGCAAGCACCTATGCAAATGAAGCACATATTAGCATATTGCACCACTTCATTTGCATAGTTAATTAGGAGACTTTTTGCGCAAGAGATTTTTGTGCAAAAAGGCACCGTCTACACAGCGTCTTTTTGCACAAAAACCTCCTCTTGTCAAGAAGAATGGCTCTTGCGCAAAAACCTCGTGCAAAAATCCAGCTCCTAATTAATTATGCAAATGAAGTGCAGCAATATGTTAATCCACACTTTATTTGCATAGGCTCTTGTAGAAGAGAGGAACAGTGTAGATGTAGCTTAATTGCAGAAGTATAAGAACAAAGGATTGATATCACAGTCCATCTGTCTGAGGCCTTGTTCTGAAGCGAAGGCTTTTGGCAAAGCATATTGAAATGAGGCACATTCCAAACCAGTCATGAAGGTACATTCCATATCAGTCATATTTAAATAGGGCAGAGTCCAGCCATTTGGGGCTGTTCTAAAGACCATCCAATCTATGGCCTCCAAATAAGGGAGGAGCATAGAAACGTAGATTGATAGCTTTCTGTCTGGCATGAACCCATTTACCAATAGTTGGGGAGAAACAGGAAAGAGATGGGGAAAAAATCAGGGAAAAAGGAAAGGAACCTGGGTTAGTCTAACTAAAGGCATTGAAGATGGACAATACAACACTGATACTGATCGCCCACCATTGTGAAGAGCTTCCTGGAATGCTGTTTGACACTGCAGGGTCATCTGATGATGTCACCAGGTACAGAATACCAGCTTGGAAAATGCTGGTGTTTTTCCACTGGAAACAAATGGTTCATGCCTGATGTAAATACTATTTAAAGCTGCGGAGTATCTGACAAGGAAGATTGTTAAAACCACCTGAAGGGAAAGGCAGAGGCTGAGTCCAGGCTAGGTCTAGTCTGTAAAGAAAAATAACTCTGCAATCTGCCTAAAACAATATGTACAGTGAGAAATTAAATGTTGTAGGCTATTTCCTGAGTGTATTAAGCTTCATTTGTGTGATTTGTTTTATTTGCTCAGTCATCTGCTTTATGTGTTATCCCTTTAATCCTTCAAAATTACCTTTTGTAGTCAATACATTTATTTTTGGCTCAATACCAATCCCAGTTTGTACAATTCATGCAGGAGGGGCTCAAAAAGATGAGCATATCTCCCTCCGTTTTTATGAATTTGCACTGTGCATCCATGCAGCTCTCTTTATACAACACCAAATAATATTATTTTGCACTTACGCCTTCCGATCTGACAGCCAATAATAGAGACTTTAAATCACTGTTCACACAGATTCCACCGTTCTTTCTGGACTCATTGGAATTCAAATTCATTTCAATTTTTATCTCCCAAGTGGCCAAATCCAATTTTCAAATCCAAGAATTAAAATTTTTGTCTAAATGTTGGGGTCTACGACAATATCTCTACTTGGCTTTATTTCTGGGAGAGGGAAGGGGGTATGTAACAGGGTTTACAGGATACAATGGGGGCAGTTCTGTGGCTACATTTGGCAACAGGAGGCACTGGACATACAAGGTCATATCAACTTTTTGACTCTGTACAGGCCTGATCCAAAGCTCATTGAAATCAGTGGGGTCTTTCCATCAGCTTCAGTAGGATTTAGATCGAGCCCTTACTGCTAAAGAAAATGAATTGTGAAAGTGAAAGATATGGGGGTGGGGGGAGGAGCTGTTTCCTGTGGTGTAAATGTTTGCAGTGTAGGATTTGCAGATATTTTATTTGCAGCCATTTCTCACTTGAGACAGCAGCCTGCCAGGGCACCACAGCCACTCGGGAAGGCAGGTATAGTAACCTCTTTCTAGTCTTATTCTTCATTAACCTCACTGCAGACCCTTGTGTTGCCTCAGCCACTAGGCAGCAGGCTGTTCTGTGCTTTGGTTCATGCTCCATATCTGCGTTAGGGACTAAAATATGCTGTGATGGGGTGAGGTCACCAGCTGGATTCTGTGACAGGGTGAGGTCACAGACGACCCTTTGGGGATTCTTCCCAGAGTGCTGACAAGGCCACTGACACGCCCCTCTCTACTCTATGGGGCTTTTCACTACCCTGTCCTGCTGGGCCAGCTCTCTGGTCTCCCCCAGCCAAGGCACAGAGCTGAGATCACTGCTCTCCACACTCCAAGGAGCAACACAGACACCCAAACTCTTCAGGTCCCAGGGAAAATCATTTCTGGGTCCAGCTTCCTGGGACACCACTCTCCAGATGGGATCAGAACCCCCAATGAATTTTTAGGTAAGCCCTCTCTAGCAATGAAACGAGGATGTGCACACTGATTGCTCCGCCAGGTAACAATTATTTACACTGGGCTTGATAGTCAATAAAAGTGATTTTATTATGTACATGCAAGAGGACTGAAGTGGTTATAAGTGAGAACAGGCAGAGGTACTTCCAACACTAAAACCTTGGTACAAACTCACCCGAAAACTATTTTTGTTCCAGCCACACCTCTAAACCAGGGAAAATCCTTCTCCATGGACAGATTTGGCAGACTGCTCTGTTTATTTCAGCAAAGCTTTGCTAAAATGCATTCAGAAAATGTGAGTACCATACAAGGTTCAAACCCCTTGATTTTATACAGTCAAAAGGCCAAGTTAACAAGATCAAAGGGTGTGGCAAAACTTCACATTATTAGTGTGGTTAAGTATCTTCATTTCAATATCAAGCACACAGCAATCTCCTGGCTATATCTCCCTGATTATCTAGAATTGCTTTCTGTCTAACACCTAATGTTTCTCTTCCTGTTAAACTCAGGCCCAAATTGGCTAGCACCTTGATCTGCATACCTACAATCAACATTAACATACTTTTCTTCTTCCTGATAAGAGACAAACAGTATTCCTTCAACTTATTCAATTATTACAGCACAATTCATCTTTCTCTTACATTATAATTGTTTCTACTTTCACACATGTGACTTTCTAAGACCAACCACCGCTGAGACTTAAAACACAAAAGAGGGTGTTTACATATGACTGCCCAGCCATTGAGGCATCCAAGCATTGGCAACACCCTCGATGGCTTTCATGTGTAGTACATGAGGCAATTTGTCCCAAATCTCTGAGTTCTGCATATTTGTGTCCGTGAGTCCATTTCATAGAGCAGGCCTGGGGGGTGGAGTCTGTCACATATTCATCTGGCAAAGCCAGAAAAGTGCATCCCACCAAACAGTGACACCTGGCTTTTTAGGGCTCTGTGATTAATGAAAAGCCTGAAAAATAATCAATTTTTCTAAATACAACAAACAGACCAA